TATTCACATCACTGTATTTACTAATTATAAATGTGGAAACTGAAGTCACATTGCAAAAAGAGGACTATATTTCATAATAGAGCTAGGCAGCAGGGAGTCATACACATACACACATGAAGGAAGTCTTTCTTTGGTAACATTAATTTATTTTTTAAATTAAATTCATTGTGGTGACATTGGTTAATAGGATTAAGTAGGTTTCAAGTGTACATTTCCATGATACATAGTCTGTATATTGCATTATATGACCACCATCCAAAGTGAAATCAACTTCTGTCACCATATATTGGACCCCCTTTACCCTTTACTACCCTCACCCCGTTCCCTCTGGTACCACCATACTGTTGTCTTTGTCTGAATTTCAGTTTTATATCCTACATATGAGTGAACTCATATAGTTCTTAGCTTTTTCTGATTGACTTATTTTGTTTAGCATAATATTTTCAAGGTCCATCCATAATGTCATAAATGGCAGTATTTCATCTTTTCTTCTAGCTGAGCAGTATTCCATAAGTATCACATGTTCTTTATCTAGTCATCTACTGAAGGATGCTTTGGTGGTTTCCATGTCTTGGCCACTGTGAATAGTGCTGTAATGCACATAGGGGTGCATATATCTTTGTGAATAAATGTTTTCACGTTTTTCAGGTGGATACCCAGAAGATAGATTGCTGGGTCATATGGTAACCTTATTCTTAATTTTTTGAGGAACCTCCATACTGTTTTCCATAGTGGTTGTATCAGTTTACATTCCTACTATTTTTCCAGGAGAAAATATACACACAGTATTAATATCTCTCTCATTTTCTCTCTCTCTTCCTCTCAATCTCTGTCCTCTACCCCCTCCCTCCCTCTCTCTCTTCTTCTCCATCTTTTTTCCTTTTCCCTTTCTCTCTTTTTTAGATTTAAGGTGAAGCTGGCTTTGTATAGAAAAGATTAGGGAAACAGATGCCTTTTTATTCCAGTTTGATGATAGTCTTTTAAACTTCAGGTTAATGTCACCAGGCAATTCCTTTCAGATGGCTCTTTGAAAGTTGCCTAATTATACCTAACTGTTTGAGTGACTAAATGAATGAATAAACATCACATAAACTTTTCAAGTTACCTAACAATGGATAAAGTAAATGTCTTTGTAGTTTAAACTAAATTTAATTTTTAAAATATCCCAAATCAGCAGATGACAGTTTTTTTGAAAGGATACTAGCCTGAGAATGTGCTTCAACATAAGAATAGATGATGATGTAAGTTCCTGTGTTACTTGATAAACAAAGACATATATTTGTCATATGTTAAACCATAAAGACATTGTTAATATATTGTTAAAATTGTATTATGAGAGAAGTTTCTAAATATACACACTAGTTTATCAATAAATTAAAAATGTACATTTCCAGAAATAAAATTCTAAATTAAAAATACCAGTCTTTCTCTTTGTCAACATTTAAAGTTATTAAACAATGAGATTTGCAGAAGCATAAATTAGTTATTTCTCAATAGGAAAAATATATTTCCAGAAATAAATTTTATTCTAATTTTTAAATAAAATCTGCTTCTCTCCATGTCAGCATTTATTATAGTTTCTGTCCTCTGATTAATTAAACACAAGGTGTTACTTATGCTAAAATCTTAGTAAATAAATCTTAAAAAGAAACTTTTGGCTGCACTGTTGTTGCTGTTGTTATTCTTCTTCTTCCTCTTTCTCCTCCTCCTTCTTCTTCATTTTTTTTTTGAATTATCCAGAACACCACATGGCTGGTTTGCAAGCTTATTTTCCAGTTCACAAATAAAAATGCGATTTTGTGTTTGTGTGAGTTTGGGTTTTGTTTTAAAAGATATCAGCTTGAAGAGTTTCAAATTTCTAGCAATAATTTCTTAAGGAGTATGTCATAAATGAGTTATTGACCACATTGTTGTTTCATCACTTGTCAAAACTTTGGTGGCAGAGGTCAGGTTTTGGGGCAACCACAGTCAACATTTATAAAACTATTTAGAAAAATATATAAGAGTTCTGTGCATCCTATCAGGTGCTTTGGAACGATCAAGAAATGTTTGTTCTCTATTATCAGCATATTATAGTCTCCAAAGACTATTTTATAAGTCCATTAAAAAATTAGGTCCTCAAATTTTCTCAGAATATCCCACGTGCTTGTAGTACTTGTTTAAACACAATTCAAAACTTCAGGAGGTATAAGTCTTCTGTGGTTAAGTGTAAAGTTAACTTTTTTTTAATGTGAAAAGGTCAAAATTAATGAAGAAACTAGCAAATTTAAAGTTCCACTGAGGAATATAACAATGCTTTTAGCAATTCATTTGAAATGAATGAGGAAAACCACCCCTTTAACATTTTAAAGCTTTGAAAGCCTGATGAACCATGGTACCTCCTGCAGTTTGTACCAAACCAAAATTTGTGCAAGGACTGGACTCATCAGCATTAAGTGGAAACAGACCATTCGGCTCTTGTAAAAGCCTCTTGCAGTGTTTTTACCATTACCCTTATATTCGGTCGATGAAATATTGCTCTTTCAACTGTTACTTTATGTTTCTTATTGTTGTTAATGTAAATGTTAACTTAAAATCCCATAAGTAAAATGCCCATCTCGCCAAATGACAAAAACATTTTTTCTAACATATCTAAATATATTAATTTTTCAGTGAAGTAGATTCTTGAAGCAAGTTGGTTCTTGTGTGTTTTAATTGTTTACTTTCCCTTTGACATGTCCCAAACTAAATAAGGAAGAAAATTACTAATTAGAATATACAGAATGTAGACTATTAGGTATATAGATAACTTGGGTTTGTTTTTCTGAGTCATTACAATAGAGGTTACTATATTATTAAAATATCAGTAATTCATTTAATTCAACCGCTTTTAAGAATGTTATGCCTCATAATTTAAGGGGAACATTTGTGTTACAGTAAAAAATCCATGAATTATTTAGATCACAATATTTCAGGTTACCTGATTCTAATTCTATGAGGGTTTTACCTTTCACTGCATTTGAGCTATTTTATAAGTTGTAGATAAGTGATACTAAGGCAAAATGTACTGGAAAGAGGGGCACAAAAGTAGATTTACAGTTGTTTATATGGAAAATAATACAAGAATTAATAAATAATAATACCAGAATAAATTCCATTTTCTCCACTCACAACTGTAAACCTACTTTACTCCACCCTGCATTTTGTCTAGAGGCATGTAAATAAATTCTGTTGGTTACAGATTCAGTTGACCTCTTCCTTCTTTAGAAAAAAGCCTGTTTTCCCCATTAGCATACTAATGTCAATATTCTAAATCTATAAATATGTCTGTAATTTGGATTGCGCTTTTATCTAGTTGTAACATCTACTCTTCACTGGGGAATTGTGTTTCTTTTATATGTATATGAAAGTCACACTTCCATTTTTTTCAAACTAAAGAATTATGTCCATAAGATTTGTATTATATTTGTATTTTGACAACAAAAAATGAATGTATTTTCTTAGTTTGTATATAATTTAATTCCTAAAGTTAGAATCTCCTCTTGTTCTACTGCCCAACACAAGCAGATGTGCATTTCATTAGTATTTTGACATAAATTATATCAAACATCACTCAAGATTTAAAATCAGTATTCTATTGTGAATTTAAAAAAAAAATGTGTGCATGTATTCTGATCTCCATTTCCCTAAGAATTCTGTTGATTGCAGATGCCTGGCAAATAATCTTAGTGGAGTATCCGAAAGCTGGTAGGTCTTTTGCAAAATGCTCTGTTAGAAAGATAGATATGATTATGACAAGACCCTCCATTTGGTGTAATGGGTCTAACGTTACAAGGGCTGTATGTCCAAAGGCAATTGCATTATATGTTTCATGCCCCAAAAGTTTTAGATGAGATGTATAACATGATTTGCCTTTAAACCACACACCTTCTGGAGACACTGGAAAATGAAGGGATGGCATTAAAGAAAAAATATATATGTATAAATGAAGTTACTTATATCTAAGTATAAATATGCTCATTGTTGTCTGTGAAGCTACAGGTGTAATTGCATCCTTTTTTCTGTTCCTCAGGAGGCTAATGGAAATAGAAACACATTGGTAGTATTTTGCATTGCACGGTTGTCTCAGATGTGCCACTCAATAAAGTATAATCTTCAGCAAGTGACTTCAAATTTCTGAATCTCATTCCCATCATCAAGATGTGGCAATAGTAATGTTTTAACAGACTGTGAAAGTCAAAGTAGCAATGTCTGCTAAAGTGCTTTGCCACTGTAAAATGTGAGGCAGAGATAGATGTGATCCATCAGGAGTATTTCCAGCTGCCACATGTGCCTCTGAGGTAAAGCATGTTTCTTGGATTGAAGATGGGAGAGCTGTGCTAGCCTTGATAGGATTGTGGGCAGAGTTTTTAGGGAGAAGACGGAAAAGTGTTCCTCCTTTCTTTCTCTCCAGGAAGACTGAAAATTATTTATTTGACTCATTTGCCAATTGTTTTACTTTCCACTAGAGATGTGAATTCCAAAATATTTTCAGTAAACTTGGAATTATTAGAAAAAAGCGTGTGTGAATGTGAAAGCACGTGCATCTTGGAGAGTTTGTGGGGGGGATACATTCACTGGTGTTTGGATCAAATTCCACTAACTTAAATGAATTATTTTTGGAAAACTTTCCCTTAAAATTCTTAAATTTTTGCCTGACAGGAGAAAGCAAATAACTATTTTCCAAATACCTGATTGTCATTTTGAAGTATCTGTGTTCTGACCTTCTGTGTTCAGAGAAAAAACAGCTCTGCCCCCACATACTAATCTGCAGGGACTGAGACTCGATGCTTCTGCTTCCATGCCGATGAATGAATGCAGGGGAAAGGTTACAAAGAGAGAAATAAAGAGTCAGTGGGAAAGGCAGTTTATTAGTGTGTTTTCATTTTTGTGGGAGTGGAGGGGTTTGGTAGATATGGTTTTCCGAGAAAAGCAAGGATGCCCGTATTTCAAAATAGCTTATTTCACCAAGTATGGACTTTTTCATGGTTTGCTAATTTGTTTACAAGCCACATCATTCATTTTACTTGGTTGACCAATCGAAGATGGACAGATTTGGAGAAGAGAGCTTAAATCACTCATTTGTGGTGGCTCTGCAAATGTGAGCCATCGCAAATGAATGATTTAAAATCACAATCTAACAGCTCTCAGACAAAGTAAATTTTGCTTAGAAAGCAAAGATTTTAGGAAAACTGTATGAATGCTTTGAGGTGGAGTATATGCTCCCTGTTTTATACCCAGGTGTCTTATAAAATTATGCTATCTGTGTGAATCCTATAGGCATTTGAGTTTCCAGACACTTTGCCCATAAAACCAAGAGGATTTTATTATCACTTTCTGTCACTAACTTTGCTGCATTCAGCAGGTAAAAGTTCTAAATAGTTAATAACAAAATCTTGCCAGAAAACTTCTTCTTTAGGCTAGATGCAGTTCAGTTTGTCAACCTTTGGGAAATCAACAACAGAAAGGCTACCATATGGCGCCCTTTCGTTCTTTGATGCCCCATGTTTTCACCTTGTATTGCTGCAGAGTACCTGAACGGTGTAAGTGTGGTACAGTGGGGAAACACAAAATAAAAAAGGGAATAGCAGAAATATCTTTAAACTATTACTTCTTCATTTTTCTCTTCGACTGATAGAGTTTCAAAATAAATCAAATACATGTTTTAATTGATAAACTGACTTTATATTCACCTATTGGAAACAGTACAACATATTTTACATCAGATTATGAAATATGGATGTTTTACTAAAAGACAGGAAGAGCTTTTTCCAGTCTTTAAAGTAAATACATATTCAAAGGATCTTAAGGCATACCATTTATTCATATTCATATCTATTGAAATACTGTACATCCACATACTTCAATAAATAGTTAAAAACCTGACCTCTTTTTAAATCATTTCTGAATTCCAAAAAACAATTTTTATTGAAAAGATTAAATAGATAACTTTTGGCTGTGTCACAAAGCTAAGCACAATGGATAAATTAACAATTCAATAAATTTGATCAATATAGATGATTGGCTTTGATAAATTTCTCAGAGTTTTCTGAGTAGACACATTGGGGTAGTTATATATATATATATTTATCTTTTTTTCTCCTGAATTATCTGGGTGATTTTCTCAGTTCTCCAGTCTACTTTCTAGATATAGTTTAAATGTTATGATGAAGCATTAAAATTTCAGTTGTTTTAAACCCCCCAAAATAGCTTTAAGTTTGAGATTCACTCTCTCAAATCTTTTAAAGTCCTCCCAAATACAGAATACTATAATTTGGGTAGTACTTATCTTTATATAATTGCTGCATAATAGGAACTTCATGGTGTAACAGGACTTATGTTTTGAATGGGATCACTGTAAAACATACACCACTTGCAGTTAAACCAAGAATGCAAATTAATTAACTACCCTAATATTCTAGTTCTTCCTCCCTCCCTCCCCCATTTTTCTTTATTTCCTTCCTTCCTCCTTCCTTCCTTTCTTCCTCCCTCCCTCTTTCTAATTCTTCATCTCTCCCTCCCTCCCTTCTTTATCTTTCCTTCTCCCCCATCTTTACCTCTTCCCTGTTCTGCTTTTTTCTTTTCTTTCTCCTCTCCTTTTTGAATTGCTTATTTTTCTTTCTTCTTTCTTTGAAAAACAATTTAGGGGCAACAAAAGGAATTCCACAATTGTAACTTGTGGAAATATAATGCTGAAATGAATAGCTAGAAAAAATTATTATACATTAAAAGATAAATCAATTTCATAAAACTACTATTCTGAAATTGCAACAACCTTGTACAGTCAGGACTGATAAAATGAAGTAATCAGACGTTTCATATGTCCATAAATGTAAAATCATCTACTTGAACATTATATGCAATACATTCACACAAAAAAGCAAATACTGTAGCCTTATTTGAACAATATTGAACTCATAAATACTCATGATTTCACTCTGTCCAGGGGCCTAAGGACTAGGAATGCTGCTGTGGTACAGAAAAACACAGTGAATACCTCCTCTATTTAAAAATGTCACTCAAGAACGTCTCTTCTAACATAAAGGCAAATACATATAGCTACTGAGCTATGACTGTACTTCTGTCACATTCTATGGTAATAACACCAGACTCCACAAATTCGGAATCATGACAACACTTTGAACTAATTATTTGGTTCATCCATAGTTTATATCTCAATTTACCTCACATTTACCCTACAAACCTTACAAAGAGGAGGTATTTTTAACTCTAGGAAAGCGGTCACTGTATAATATGCATTCTTGATCTGTTTCTCCCAGTCAATGGTACTGATGGTTAACACTTTTGTGGTAGCACCACTATTTCTAGTAAGTAGAGTATTATGGAGTGTGCCACTTTAAAGCTGCAATACAAAATAATATTTTCTAATTTACTCACAAATTCCACAAAGAATATTTTTAAAAAGCAATCGATACTAAAGTTAAAATGCCATATGTATTAAAAACATTTTAATATATCAGTCAAAATAATGTAATAAATTATTACAGTGAGTGAATTTAATAGCATCATGCCATATTATTGCCATTTTTTGAAAACATTTCTATATTTATGCCTCCTCATTTTAGGATTCCTTTTTTTAATTAAAATACATTTATAGTATGCTTTGGGATTAAGTTTTACTTGAAAGAAATTGCAATTTTCAAGTTACAGTATCTCTTTCCAAGCAAAATTTTAGGTATCTTAAATATGTATAATTTCTGTGAAATTTCTTGTATCTAACTTGATTAGTAAGTTTTTGCAGAAGGGCTCGATTATTTGTGGAAATCTCTGGAAGTATAGTGAAATCATGAACTTTGTCTAAATTGTATAATGACCTTCAAGGCTATGGTCTTTCTTTAGTAAATAGTAAAACCATCAAACTATTCCTGTAATATAATAGTTCCTAAAGTAACAGAACTTTTCTTTAAAAATGTAGTTTTCACTCTTTATATAGAAATTTAATATTCATGAGCATTTAATAGTCAATATATCTTAACATATTCTCATCACTGGTCTTGTCTTCATTTTATCATATCTTATACATACCATGCAAGAAGAAATAAGGCATGGTAATTTTCTTTTGGCCTTACTTGTTTGAATGGACATGGCCCTAAGAGAAAGATTTTATTATAGAATTAGTTATTTCAGGGATTTATCTACTGCACACCAGCATGAAATATTTGTTACAATATATTTTTGAAAAAAAAAAGTCATATAACATGTATTCCAAATTAACAACTGAGTGATGTTTTCAGATGGAAAATGTGCAAACTGCCCCTGTCCTCAGGAGCACCTTATCATACCAACTTACCTGCCACAGAACCAAATTAATTTGGAGTGCTCAACAACTCATGTAACATCAGTTGATTAGACTTTTTTCTTTTTTGAAAAACTGTCTTAAAATTTTTGGCCTGGAAATAGCAAAAGGAAAAGATCCTGGATTGCTAGGCAATCTCTTTGCTGGACTTGTCATTTTAAAAGGAATTATTTCCCAAAGTGGATCTCACATTCAGCTACAAGTAAAGAAATCACATGGTAAATTTACCTGTACTGTGTTAAATTGTTTTTCTTCACAAAATTGAGTTATTGTGGGGGAAGAGTCTCAAACCCCACTCATAATGCAGAGGATTTTCAATCCTATAGGTACTTTGCTCTTTAGAGATAGGATACAGTGCACTTTATCATTGTAGTTTACTTTTGATCTCAATTGTAGGGTTTGGCAAGATGTCTTTATTAGTTGAAGACGAAGAGGGAAATATTATGTCATGAAGGCACACCCATGCTGAACTTACAGGAAAGAGAAGCAGAGCTGCACAGCCAGTTATATTACAAGGCTCATTCCTGAAACCTGAATATCATGCGAGCAGAAAAATCTAGATATGTGTTTACCTTGAAGAAATGATCTGAAGGCAATATTATTTGCTTTTTTATCAAAAGAGAAAAATGCATCTTTGTAAATATGGGTTGATTCGTGTTGAAACAGGGAAATGAGTGCTTGTATTGCAGCCTTAAAGAATCACATATTCACTGCAATATTCGTTTTGTAAACTACAGCCTGCAACCTAGCAGACCATGACTGAATGCTTTTGAAAAGTTGTAGATTACAAACATGAAATCACAATTAATATCCTCTAAAAGTAATTTCAGAGCCTTCACATCTTAAAAAAGGACAATGTGTACTGCTTCACAAGGTAATGTAGCTAATCAGAAAAAGAGTAGAATTAAAGTATTTACATAATGAGCAATTCTACAGAAGGCGATCATCCCCATGTAAGCACTGCTGATTATATCCCACGCTGCTTTTAACAAACTGTACCAGATTGGATCCAGCCATCAGCACTTTCAGAGAATTCTTAAAAGCCTTTTATGGGTCTTTAGATTCATTGCAGAATGGCATTCTTCAGGTAGAATATGCTGGTGAAAGAGGACAGTGTCAACACAAGGGACCAGCAGGAGAAAAGAATGTCGGCGCTCCCGGTAATTCCATATTGGGCTGTACTTGGAGCTGAAAAGAAAAGGAAAAGACTAAATCAAAATCTAATTTGTGTCTTTCAGGATGTTAAGGATAATCAAAAGGCAGCTGGGTATATTGGGGAGAGCCCTGGCATTGGAGTCGGGCAGGTTTAGGTTCACATCTGGTTCTGCTCTATGACAATGTGGGCCTATTTGATTAACATTGCTGAGCTTCATTTCTCTTAAGGGAAAAACAGAGATAACATAATCCCCTTGGCAGGGCTGCAGTGAGAATTAGAGATGAAGCACATACAACACGTTGCACTGGGCTGAGCACAGACTAAGTACTTAAATATATTGCAGCTAACATTGTTTCTCTTATATGCATTGTACATATTTGTATTAGTGAACAGTATTCATCCATGCATATTTTTTAAAAAATTATTTTTATTTACATAAAATTGATGTATGACACTGTGTAAGTTTAAGATGTACAATGATGTTGATTCACACATTTATATATTGCAATATTATTACCACCATAGTGTTAACTAGCACCTCTATTACATCATGTAATTATCATTTCTTTCCTGTGATGGGAATACTTAAGATCTAGCCTCTTAGCAATTTTGAAGTCTATAATACAGTATTATTGACTACTATGCCTTCATTAAATATCCAGGACTTATTTATCTACTAGTTCCAAGTTTGTATCCTTAAACAATAATTCCCAATTCCCCCACCCTCCAGGATCTAGTAAACATTCCACTCCCTCTTTTTCCAAGTTCAGCTTTTTTGGATTGAACATATAAATGACATTATACATATACACATGCATATATTTGTGAATCTTTTTTATTGGAAAAACACTGTGCTAAATGCTGTAAAAGAAAACAAAAATCCTCTTTTCCAACAGTATTTTTTGGAAGTGAGGAAAGATATTCAAAAAAAGTAATACAATCCTAGAAACACCAGAGGTGCATGCACAAATTGCAGTGACACAGAAAACTGAGTATTTAAATCTGCCCCACCAAGGGAGGAATGATTTAACAGAGAGCTTTACTAAAGTAGACTGTCATTTGGTTGGAGGAAAGAATGTATTCAAAGGCATGAGGAGAGGAGAGAGCACAACATATATTCTAGGATCTAATAGTAAATTAGTCTTGCTGGACCATGAAGATTGAGACCTGAAGTAGTGGAAATTTTAAATGGGATTCTTGGCAGATAGAATTATCTTGCTTATTATAAAAAAGAGCTTAGTTTTTATGATAAAAGAGACTTTAAAGGATTTGGAGCTGGTGAGTTGTATGATTGCACTTACACATTAGAAAGATCACAGTTTTATACATGAGAAGCTCATGTGTAAACAGACAAGTATGTTAGCCAAACATACTTGGCTAACAGACATGTTGAATTTTCACTGAGAGATTTCACCTAGAAACTCACAAAGCTTGGAGTATTGTGGGAGTTTACTCAATGAATTCCACTTAATTTCACAAGAGGATGGTTGCCTCTTTGAATGTGAATTATATGCTCTTTTCCAGAAATTGAATGTCACAGACATGCTCAGCCTTGCCTCAGACTGATTCTCTTTTACCATAATAATTATAACAGTAACAATAAAAAACCCCACCAACATACTTTTAACTACTTTTTCTTAATGAAACCTTGATTGCAAGCATGGTTTTCTAATATAAAATAAATAATGTAGTATAAAAATGTGTTATTTCACCCTCAAACCCATAACTCAAATCCAGAAGCAGTTTTAGTCACTGAATTTGAATTACCAGCAGGTAGTTTTTAATGGAACTTTCACCAATAACTATATATCCATGTTACAAGAAGAATAAATTGCCTCGTTTATACTTCTAAGAAATTAGAGGGGGATGAAAGGTGCATTGGCCACTTCCAGTGGGAAATTTTCTTAACAGTACAATCATTGGTTCCAGGTGAGTGAGATTCAAGGGCTGAGACTGCTACTCTTTAGTAAACACAGAGAAAAATCAACTATGTACTGCTTCTATTTGTATCAAAATGAGTCCTAAAGAATGAAAAGATTAGGAAGAAAACAAGTGTATATCGTTGAACAGCTTTTCAAGTTTTGATATATAAAAAGTCTAATATAAAACCACAAACCTCAAATTATTTTCTCTCGTCCAAGACCTAGGAAGAGGCATTTTTAAAAATATAAATAAATATTTAATTGGTCCATTGACTTCTCAGTTTCAGCTATTTCAGAATTATTTCTGCTATCATTTTAAAAGAATCTTGAGTTCAATAAAACCAGTATAATAAAGAACTAATAATAAACAGAGCATATACAATGATTTCATAAGTAAGAAATATATCTTAAAAGCCAAGCACACAAAGCAAAGATAAAATTTTATTGTCTTGACTAATTAAATAGTACAGTAAGTGAGTAGAGTATAAAGGACCCTCAAAACTCCATATCCATAATTTAAAATGCATTTTGGGGACAATCTTTCCTAAATTTCCTTCAACAAGCTAAGCAGATTACTCTAGTGTGTCATTAGGCTACCATTATATATTACTTTTTATACAACTATAATACTGCATTGCAAATATTTATATACATATCTGTTTACCAGATTGTTAACTCTCCTAGTTCATGTTTTATTTATCTTGGTGTTTCTAAGCATGAAGTCTGGTGAAGTCTGGCAAAATCTGGCAAAAAGTAGATGCTTAGGAAATGTCTGTTGAATGAACAATTCAAGTAAGTAAATAAGTAGGTCAGAATTAAAAGGGGCACTCCTCTCTTATGAAAAAAATTTCTTTTGAAGCAAGCCACTTGCTTATTGGCTAGAGAATCAATATACCCTTTTCATTCATTCAGCAAATGTGTACTGAACTAGGTACCAGACACTATACTAAGTACTAGGAAATAATAGTACAATAGTTACTATGATAAATATGGTCCTTTTGTTACTTAATTCCATATATGGCCATATATACGCTTTTTTGTTGTATGTCACATACCTCAATACCTTCTTTTTTCCCTGAGTGCTTTTATCTTCTACTCAGCCCCCTATTGTCTTAGATATAACAAAGACATATCAATAATATGTTTAAAACTACTACTTTACAATTAACATTACATATATTTGTCCATTGATGTCTCAAACTGATGTACATTTAGTTTTGTGAATGCAGTATTTCCATTAGTCCTAAAATAAAGTAGGAGCTGTTTCTGCATTGTTAGGATGTAATTACTATAAGAAATGGATTGTAGAACAGGTATTGACAACTAATAGGCCAAAAAAAAAACAAACCAAAGAATAAATATAGTCAAGGAAATGTGAGGCCAATATCTAATACTAAGTCATATATGATGATTTACACTTTTTAAGTATATACTGAAGGTCTTTTATGTGCTGGGGATTGAACACAGGTAAAGGTGAATAAAACTTCTCTCTTAGGAAAGTTTCATTCTAGTTGGATATATAAATAAAAAGGCAAATGTAGAACATTAGAACATACTCTAATGTATGTTAGACTGAACATGAGAGGGCACTCTAAAGAGTCATGGTAGGTAAGTAGCCCAGGCAGTAGATACAAATACAATTATTATTATTATGGTCATTATCATTATTTTACAAAATGCAATGATAGATACATTTTAGTACATATACATCTCACTTTTTAAAATGGTGGCATTGTGGTCCATTGGCTTGGAGTATCCTATTACTCCAATGAGACCTTAGTCTCATTGACTGATATGTATTTATTTATTTTGCTGTGACTTGTTAACTCAGTGACTTACAGCACAAGCCTAATTGTACTAAATTTAAGAATCTCAGTACTATTTGGACTAATTAGATTTGCTTGGCAAGTTAAATGCTAATCAGCTATATAAGAAATTATAGAAACTCTTATGAAATTACAGAAAATAACTGTTAGCTATTAGTAATTAGCTATTGGAAATTACCTTCAAGACTCAGTTCAAGTATCATCTCCTTTAAAAGAGAAAACTCTTTATAAAATTCCACTTGCCAAATCAATTTGGCATCACATTTGATATCTAATTTATATATCTATCACATCATATTTGCATACTAATTTTGCTCATTAGACCAAGAATGTCTACAAGTGAAGATTTATTATATGTATCTTTATTATTGGTATAGGAAAATGTCTGTTACTTAGTAAATGTTCAATAATATTTGTTGAATGATGATAAATTTTATATCCATTTCCTATACTGTCACCATAAACCCATAAGGGGACACAATGCCTTGAGTACTTTTTCTCAGAAGAATCATGTCTTTTACCATTTATATTTTACCTTTTAAGACCTATACAGAGTTAGAATACTTCCCTTCAGCATTTGAGCAAGAAGCTATATCATGGAGCAGCCTATATAAGGGAAGAGCATGCACCAACCTTTGTAGCATCATCCTCTTGCAGCAAAACACAGGGAGTGTAGATGAACCCATGGCCCGAGATATACTTCTGAGTTTTATAAGAGATATTCAGCTGTGCCTTTTGGATGGTCACATCTTTTGTATGTTCTCTGCCATGTGTTTAGTTGCCTGTAAATATCATACTGCTTCTCATCTGAAGTTAAATTAGGAGGGATAGGATATGTGAGTGTTTCAGATTCATTCTGAGTGATATTGGAAGACAGAAGAATTTTGGGCAGAGGAGTTTAGCTGACATTTAAAAGTGATTGAGTATTTTGTGATCAATAGATTGTACTAGCAGCAAGAGTAGAAGCCTATGTTAGCCTGAAATGTCAGGATCTCCACTGACTATTGAGAGAAGCTAAGGATCTCTAGCTCAGCATTCAGGACCTCTACTATGTGACTCTACTCAACTTATCCACACTTATACACACTCTTAGCTCCAGTCACAGGAATCATTTTCTGAATGGATAGAGAGTTTTTATTACTCCTTGTCATGTGCACATTCTATATCCTTAAGCCGAAATGATTTTTCTTCCTATTTTCCTTCCCCACATACCAAAGTCTTAGTCATCCTTAAAGAAACACCACTTCAAAAGAACCTATGCATCCCAAAGTTCATAGCAGCACA